TGTAATAACAATGTTTATGTTTTACTGGTGAACTTGATTCAGAATATCAGCAACCATGTTGTAAGGAATTGTTGGAACATGTCCATGTTTCAATATGTTGAATTTAAAAATTTCTCAAGTCCCACATTGTTAGAATATCTTTTTGGTTAAAAAAACCATTTAGACCCACATTGTTCATGTGAGAAATATTAACTATCCTACTTCACTATATAAGGAGTTCATATGTTTCATTCCAAATCACACAAAAAATTATTCTATTAGTTTTTCCTTCCTCACTCTCATAACTCTGCGTCTCTCGAATTGTCGAAGCGCCATCTTCTTCCCCTTTCTTCCTACTCGTTGAATTTTTTGAGTATTTTCTTGAATTCTCTTTAGAGAATTATGTTAATTTCTCCTCATTTGAGTTGAGAAATTTTCAAGTTTAATCTTTTGAATTCTCTTTGGAGAATTATTTGAATTTCTCTTGTTGGAGAAATTATTATGAGTGGTCAAATGACCATTATTAATTTCTCTTTGGAGAATTATTTGAGTTTCTTTTTGTTTGAGAAATTATTATGACTGGTCTTTGTATCAGATACTACGAGTGGTGTTGATACCATATTTGAATGGTCTTATACCATTAGAGGGTGTATTTCTAGACCGATTATCTATCATGCAAGTAGTAACCGTACAGTATAGAACTGGGCTGTTTTATCCTGGAGGCGGCGCGGTAGTTCGACTGTTTTGCATTATTTTGAGCAGCACCGTGAAACGTTTTAAAGAGAGCGACCTAGTCCGCGACTCAACCTGGTAATTTATTTGGTGGAAAATATTTTAAAAATCCGAAACCAACAATTTTAAGACGTTTCAAACTGCCACGACTACTGAAGAAATTATTGGTTCTTTTGCGGATATTGTCGTTAAGAAATCGTTCATGTTTGAGAGAAGTCACTTCAAACATTGGCAACAAAAGATGAAGTTCTTAACATTGAAAAAAATTGCTAACGTTTTGATCGATGACATTTTGTTGCTCCTTCTGGATCAATCGAACAAACTAACTGTAGTAAATCTGGAGATTTAGAAGGAATACTTAATAGTGTTGAAGTTGAATCTGCTGCACAGATTAAAGTGGATGATTTACAGCATAGTAAAGAAATCACCTTATATAAAGAGAATGAAAATCTCTACAAAATCATATTTTGAATAGACTCGCAGATGATCTGTATGATAATTATAGTTGATGTGATACTGTAAAACAGGATTGAGAGACTCAGAAAAAGAAGTATGATGTAGAAGCTGGAGCAAAGAAGTATGTTGTTAGCTGCTACTTCAAGTATCAAATGCAAAGATGTAAGGTCGATGAGGCTCAATGTTACGAACTTCAAAAGATTTCTTAAAAGATCATCACAAAAGGTATGTGTTTAAATGAACAATTTAAAATTGGTTTTATTATTGACAAACTACCCCATAGTTTGAATGTTAAAAAAAGGGGGGGAATCTTAGAGACAATATCAAAAATAAAAAGTCTTGGTTGTTTCAAACAACAAAAAGAAATTCGGTGTAGTTCTGAAGCCATTTGGCAAATGATTAAAGAATCAGAACTACAATATTGTGAACCGAATAAAGAATGGGAATCCTTCTATGATCCCAATAGCTCCAACTAGGCAACAACCACCACCTAAAAGAAATGACATTGGTTTCCCTTTGTTTTAACTATGGAAAATCAAGTCATATGACTAAGAAATGTATAAGTAAGCTTGAACTTGGTGTTGTCCCTAATGCACAGGTCAACCTGACTAATGGGAAATTTATTGTTATGGCCATTGAAATCAACATGGTTGATGGATATGTTGGTTGGTGGATAGACACATGCGTCTCTCGTTGTGTCTATTATGATCGTGTTATGTTTAAACATACACGAATACTAAAGATAAGAAAGTGTTGTTGAGAGATGGCCAGACCACAAATGTTGCTGGAATTATAGACTTAGAGCTAAATTTCACCTTCAAAAAGACTTTAATCTTAAGGAATGTTATGCATGTTCGTAAGATTAGAAAGAATATTGTTTCTGGTTTTCTTTTAAATAAGACATGGTTTAGTCAGTCTATTGGGGTGGATTTGTACGCCATTACGAAGAATGAAATTTATATGTTTAAATTTTTTGTAAAGAATTTGAAAATGATATAATAAGAATTTGTAGTGATAGATAAACTGTATGATTCTAGTTTTTTAATGAATTTTATACATGGAATTGTACATGAAACGACTGCACCATACTATCTTGCAATGAATGGTAAAACATAAAGAAAGAATAGAACTCTTACTGAACTTATTGTTGCAATTATGATGAATTCTGGTGCTGCACCTCACTGGTGGGGGAAATTTTATTGACTGTTTGCTATGTCCTGAATAGAGTCCCCAAGTCAAAATGTGAGATCTCTCCTTATGAGATATTAAAGAAAAGACAACCAAACTTGTATTATTTGAGAACTTGGGGTTGTCTGAATTACGTTAGAATTCCGGATTTGAAACGAGTTAAACTCGCTAGTAGAGCATATGAATGTGTTTTCATTCGGTATGCAGCAAACAGTAAAGCATATAGATTTTATGACCTAAAGGAAAAAGTGATCATAGAATCAAATGATGTTGAATTCTATGAAGACAAATTTCCTTTCAAATTGATAAATAGTGGGGGCACACAATCGAGTCACATTCATGTGATAAGAAGCACAGAAAGCAACGACAATGTAGAAACAGAACTTCAACGAAGTAAACGAGTAAGAGTTTCTAAAGACTATAGGCGTGATTATGCGGCTTATAATGTAAAAGAAGATCCAATGAATCTTCAAGAAGCCTTGTCATCTCTGTATGCTTAGTTATGGCAAGAAGCTATCAATGATGAGATAGAATCTCTAGAATCTAACAAGACCTGACACTTAGTAGACTTGCCTCCTGATTGCAAACCAATCGATTGTAAATGGATTTTGAAAAAGAAACTAAAACCCGATGGAACTATTGATAAATACAAGGCTCGCCTTGTTGCCAAGGGTTTTAGACAAAGAGAAAATATAGATTTTTTTCCGGCACATTTTCTCTTGTCACTAGAATTACATCCATTAGGGTACTTATTTCAATTATTGTTATTTATAACTTAATAGTACACCAAATAGATGTTAAAACAGTTTTTTTTAAATGGTGACTTAGAAGAAAAAATCTATATGAAACAACCGGAAGGGTTTGTGATCTATGGACAAGAAAACAAGGTCTGTAAGTTAGATAAGTCTTTGTATGGGCTAAAACAAGCTCCAAAGAAATTGCATGTAAAGTTTGATAATTTAATGATATCGAATGTGTACAAAGTGAATGAAAGTGACAAATACGTTTATTACAAATTTGAGAATTATATTTGCACTATCATATGTCTATATGTAGACGATCTACTCATATTTAGATCAAACATTCAGGCCATTAATGATATGAAATTATTGTTGTGCAATAACTTTAATATGAAAGACCTCGGAGAAGTGAGTGTGATTCTTGGTATCAAGATCACAAAATCCGAGCAAGGAATTTCTTTAGATCAATCACAATATGTGAAAAAGATCTTAAAGAAATATAATTACTTTGACAGTAAACCTGTGATCACACCAAATGATCCACTACAAGAAAAATGATAGATTGGGACGGTTATTTTGGCTGATTACGACGGTTAAAACCGTCGCAATTTACAATCTACGACGGTAGAAGTACCGTCGCAGAATCGTGCGTCCCCAGCCTATTTCACGACGGTTGCAAAAACTGTCACGCACAACAGATAGCGACGGTTATATACCGTCGTGAATTTGACTTTATTTTTTGTTTTTGTTGTTGTTTGCGACGGTTATTCTACCGCCGTAGGTTAGAAATTGCGGCGGTTTTAACCGTCGTAATCTGATTTATAAATTTCAAATAATATTTTTATTTAAATTATTATTTAGTAAAATAATTTTAAATATAATATTATTTTATTATTATATTTAAATTATTATTTACTTTAATATTTTTTTATTTATAGTATTTTTATTTTATTTTCTATCACTTTTCAACATAATAAAGTTAATTACAATAAAAACATTTAATATCAAATAATCATCAATAATATCAAAAAAAATGTGATCAAAGGTAAAAAGAAGTGCAAATTTTACCAATAAACAAGAAAAATTCAAATATCATCAAAGGCCAAATTTCATTTTAATATTTACATTGGTTTGCTACAACTTGAGAGAATTACAAAAAATGTTACAATATTCTACAAAATTCATGAAAGTCCTTAGTGTTAAGTGATTTTGTGTTAAACTTCCATGCTAGGACCATGATCCTTCCTTGACTACCATTTGGAAGCAATAACTTCACTCCTAGACTTTCATGAACAATAACAGCCCATATTTGATTCAAAGTGACCGGTAAGTTATACTTGCAATTATACTCACATTTCTTTGCATATATTTATCTAGTCAACTGAATCACATACTGTGCAAAAAGTTTCTCAATAATATATTATAAACAAAGTATATGCTTCCAACATGTTACAACACATAGGGTTGACAGAATATTGTATCATATAGAATACTATTTTGTGATTCACAGAAATGACTTCTACAACAAAATAACAAAATAAGAAAAATATATGAAAAGAAAAAATATTGAACTTAAGCATAGTAAAATATTGGGTGTTGCATTTTGAGATAAAGCCTCTGGCAACCGCTCCAATCTGACTAATCTGTGGATAATAAAAATGAAGTAATAATAAGAATGAATAAACAGAGTGTACAACTTAATATATCCCACCAGCATTTCATACATAATAGCTCCAAGTGACCATCTGTGAAATAAATAATTGTCAATTTTCAAAATAAAATACACGCGCTGACAATGATAAAGCCTTTTATCACTAAGTGGTATCAGCTATACAATGTCGTAATTTTAATGCCAACAATCACACACAGAACTCACCAATCACATTCCCATCTCATAACCTTTCTTCAATAGAACTTTTGGAGCAATATAATCTGGTGTACCAACAGTAGAATAAGCATGCATCATTTATACATTCCCACTTACAATAAACCAAAAACAGAAATCCAATTCATCATAAAGATTTTAGATTCACAGTTACATTTTGTCATAGTAATAAATAAAAAAGAGACAACGATACAATAGCAATGAACTTACAAGTGTCCTCCTGTTTTTCTGCCAGCTTTCCAATTGTTCTTGTTGTGTACGTTTCGGACGATCATCACTATGTCCAATTCCATTTGCATTATGACAATTAGAAAAAATCTAATTCTTCAAGTGTACTACAGTCTACCAATTTACATAGTCCAAAATCTGATAGTTTCAAGTGCCTGTATTTATCAAGAAATAAGTTATCAGGCTTAATATCCCTGCAACATAACATATAGAGAAGATTAATTTATAACGTACAATTGACTAAGTTCTTTACATTCTTAAATAGATATCTAAACTTCCATGAAGATAAATAAATCAGACTGAAGCATCAAATAGTTTTCAACATATGATCATTTTGGAGACTACGATGAATGCAACCGTAACAATACTTATTTCTTGAAATCCTGCATGAAATAATTGACTTTGACTTATAGTATGAAATAAATTACCGATTCTATAGATACCTATGTATATTAGTTGTGTTTATGTATAGATTCAATAGCCAGAACTGTTTCGCCTACATAAAATTGGGCTTCATCTTCGGTCAAAGTATCCTTTCTCATAAGTAGAGTCATCATATCCCCTCCCAGTACATACTCCATAATAAGATATAGATAATCATCATCCTGGAAAGAACAATAAAGTTTGACTATGCAATTGCTGTCAACCTCTGCAAGGAGATTCCTCTCAGCTATGACATGTTCAATCTGAATAATCAGAAAAAATAAGGGTAATGACTTCAATAAACTCGGCATAACTACTTCTCGTCAAAAACACTTTATTGTATTACTTTTGCATAGTCTAGAACAATCTTGCCAGAGGAATTATGATATTTGCGGGCATGTCAACATAAAGTAGCTCTTCCAGAGTGCCACTATCATACTTTACTTTGAAAAGCCAGGGAAGAACCTCAACAGTTGCTTCTAAAAACCCAGAAAAAACATAAACAGTCAGATGGGGGATAGTTCAACAGACTGACATTTGCAACAAATCAATAACAGATATATTTAATAGAAAAAGTGAAGAGGCCATTCATACGGTGATGAATAGAAATAGACTGAATAATGAAATGCAGAAAAAGAACCTCAAGAAAATAAAACTTACCCAACCCACGGCCAGGTTTGTGATTACATATTTCGCAGTTCCATACATCCTGAAAATGTTTAAAGAATCCATATTTAGTTAAAACTAATGCTCAACATCAATGAGACTACTATAGTAGGCTTCTTGAATACTATAAAATCATTCTACCTATCATCCACCATTTTTTATCATAACAAATCACAACAATAACAGCCCATAAAACCAAACATAAACTCTATTTTCACCATAAGCCAAACTTGTCAAAACAAATCACCATTAATTCATACAACCTGTCAAAAACCATAATACAATATCATAACACATAAATATAATCCAAGTTTCTATATGCAAAAGAAAGGATATTGAAGTAGAAACCAAAAGCTTGTTCGCCAGAATGATACCTCGAGACCGACACATACAGATTCGAATCCACGCCATACATAATGTCACCACCGACCAGCCACCGTGCATAACTGGTCACTGTCACCAACCACAATGGTGCCCTTGTTGGGTCATAGCCACATCTCCGCAAACATAGAGACCCTCTCTGCATCAGCCACCTCCGTATGACCCACACAACCACAACGCACACTGTCTCTCTCCACATAGCATACACAGCCGATGTGAGGTCCCTCTGCTGCTCAACAATCCGCCATCATCCTCTCAACTACCACCGGCCGCCGCTATTGCTTCGGCCATAAACTCCGATCGTCACACACACCAAAGCCGCCGGCCAAATTATCCATCGACACAAGTTGGAATCGTGTTGGTAAACCTCATGTGTTCTGTCTTTTTTTGTTGTTGCGGGATTGTCATGAACTGAAGAGGAAATTGGAGTTTTTTAGTTCCAGTTTTGAGAAATGTAGAAGAAAGAAAGAGGAATCATAGAGAGAGGAAGTAATGCTAAGAGGTTAGCCTTTCACATTTTATTGCATATTTAATCTAATAATCAAATCAAACCCTAAAACAACAAATTAGAAAACCTAAAAAATCATAAAAAGAATTTTTAAAGGTTTTGGGTGCGACGGTTGTTTTACCGTCGTGAAATAAATTTTAAGACGGATAATTTTACCGTCGTGAAAGGTTTAAGGGTGCGACGGGTGCTTTACCGTCGTGATATGCCTTTTAGGACGGTTAATTTTACCGTCGTGACTAGTTGTTGGTGAAAAATCAATGTTAAAAGTGTTAAATGGGGGTCGACGGTTGTTTTACCGTCGTAATAATAATATTATGATGGTTAAATATACCGTCGCAAAATAAATATTAGGGACGGTTGGTGTCAACCGTCGTAAAAACTGTCTCTATATGTCAATTACGACAGTTATCACATAACTGTCGCAATTTTTGTGTCGTTAAACACTAATTTTCTTGTAGTGATCCAAGCGTGAAGCTGTTTAAGAACACTGGTGAAAGTCTTAGACAAACAGAACATACAAGCATCATTGGAAGTCTTAGGTATTCCATTGGTTGTACTAAACCTGACATTGCATATGTCGTGGGATTGTTGTGCGGGTTTACTAGTAGACTGAGTAATGAACATTGGGAAGCTATTGAGCGAGTCATACGGTACCTTAAAAGGACCATGAATCTCGGTTTACATTATCATAGATTTCCTATTGTACCTGAAGGATACAATGATGCAGATTGGAATACCTTATCAGACGATTCAAAAGAAACTAATGGCTATGTATTCAACATAGCTAGATGAGTTGTATCTTGGAAATAAAAGAAACATACTATCCTGAGAATATAGCATTAGCGACTGCTAGTGAAGAAGCAAGTTGGTTAAGATACTTGCTAACTGAGATTCCCTTATGGGAAAAACATATGTCAGTTGTGTTGATCCACTGCGATAGTACCACGGCTATTGCAAAAATTGAGAATCGTTATTATAATGGTAAAAGACGTCAAATAAGAAGAAAGCACAACACTGTTAGAGATAGTATCTATAAAGGAGCTGTAAGAGTGGATCATGTATGCACTGATGAAAATTTAGCAGATCCTTTGACGAAAGGATTATCTAGAGAGAAAGTCTATAATACATCATATAAGATGGGACTAATGCCTATAGAAAAATGAGTTGCTCATGATGGTAACCCGACCTAAATGACTGGAGATTCCAAGAAATAGGTTCAATGGGTAATAACAAGTTGTGAGTAATATGAGATGATCATGCAAGTAAAGCATGAATCCTGAAGTAATAAGAGGATGAGATAATAGAAATTCTTAATGAGATCTATACTCTGTATGAAGGAGTACCTAGGCTACATGAGTACTCTTGATAGACTCACCTATGTGATTGTGGAACTTAGGCCGGTTTCTATGGAATTTCGAGGCAGAATTCCTAGAGCCTTCATTAAACTGGGATACACGTGCAGGGCCATTAAAGCACGGGCAATTAGAATACACCTTAAGAAAAGGTTGTGTGCGGGTTTGATGTTTGAGATAGATTTCAAGACATTGTGTCACTCTTGTTGAATTGGAATCCTACTTGCTATGTAAAGGTTCAAGTCGTAGACACCTTTGTTTATGCACAATCTTAGAAACGTTTGACGTTACTTCTAAAATCAATTTTTTAAATTCAAGTGGGGGATTGTTGGAACATGTCCATGTTTCAATATGTTGAATTTAAAAATTTCTCAAGTCCCACATTGTTAGAATATCTTTTTGGTTGAAAAAACCATTTAGTCCCACATTGTTCATGTGAGAAATATTAACTATCCTACTTCACTATATAAGGAGTGCATATGCTTCATTCCAAATCACACAAAAAATTATTCTATTAGTTTTTCCTTCCTCACTCTCATAACTATGCGTCTCTCGAATTGTCGAAGCGCCATCTTCTTCCCCTTTCTTCCTACTCGTTGAATTTTCCGAGTATTTTCTTAAATTCTCTTTAGAGAATTATGTTAATTTATCCTCATTTGAGTTAAGAAATTTTCAAGTTTAATCTTTTGAATTCTCTTTGGAGAATTATTTGAATTTCTCTTGTTGGAGAAATTATTATGAGTGGTCAAATGACCATTATTAATTTCTCTTTGGAGAATTATTTGAGTTTCTTTTTGTTTGAGAAATTATTATGACTGATCTTTGTATCAGATACTACGAGTGGTGTTGATACCATATTTGAATGGTCTTGTACCATTAGAGGGTGTATTTCTAGATCAATTATCTATCATGCAAGTAGTAATCGTACAGTATAGAACCGGGCTGTCTTATCCTGGAGGCGGCGCGGTAGTTCGACTAATTTGCATAATTTTGAGCAGTGCCGTGAAACGTTTTAAAGAGAGCGACCTAGTCCACGACTCAACCTGGTAATTTCTTTGGTGGCAAATATTTTAAAAATCCGAAACCAACAGGAATTACATAGTCAACTTCATGCTTCCTTTTGTTACGCCAATACTAAATATTGTGGCATAATGTGGCCCATATTGCTTGCTAGTCTTGATCCTCCATGCTACTCAATCTTTGAGTCATGTTTGTGGTTATCCAACCTTGTAGAGTATCACATAAGAATCTATTCCTTGAAGTGTTTTTGATTAACCTTAACCAAATATGTTTCACCATCTTGCAGTCCATCAAGGCATGGAGAATGAACTCTTCTTCACCTGCATAGTCGACACAAAAAGGATCCCCAAGATTACAATGATGTAAAAATTGTTTGGTCTTGAGACCTATGTGCCAAATTAGCCTAATGAATGCCCTGATTCTTTCAGGAGCTTTGATCTTTCAAATTATTTTCCACTAATACATTAGTGAGTTCTTATCATGATTGTTGATCTTTTCAAATGTAATGACAATAGAGAATGAACCATTATATGTTCCATTCCAGATGCACAAGTCTTCTTCCTCAATATAGCCAGGAGCTGGGATTGAAACAAGTTTGTCCAGAATATCCTGATCAAATATGCTTCATAGTAAATTCCAATTCCAATCTCCATTGTCTCTTGTGATAATGTCTACTACTTTGATGTTCTTCTAATCTTTAACATTCACCTTTGCAAAATCTTTCAGAATGCCCAGAAGCAAGCCATTTATCATACCATGCTCTAAAATTGGTTCCATTTCCAACCACCTTGAATTCATGATATAAAGAAGCTCATTTTCTTTAACTATACTCTCCCAAAGGCTCCAATCACGTGGCTTTGCTTCCATTCCCCCATAATCACCGAACCTTTTATTATACTTGCCTCTGATAACCTTGCACCACAAAGCATTGTCACCAGCTTTAACTTTCTATCCCAATTTGGCAATACACATTTTGTTCATTTGTGTCAGATTTCACAGACCAAGTCCACCATACTTCTTTGGTCTTTCTATATCTTCCCATTTCACAGTATGCAAGTGTCTTTCACCCGATGCTTCACCCCATATAAACTTTCTTTGTGCCTGATGGATACTTTTGATGCAAGCCTTGGGAATGTTGTTGGTTACCATTTGATAAGTTGGCATAACCTCAATCATGGCCTTAGCTAGTGTTAGTCTACTTGTAAATTGTAACACCACCGTTTTTTATTTATTGAAATTATTTGGTTTATTGTGAGTTTTGTGTATTTATTTGATTATTGAGTAATATTAGCTGAATAAATATGGTTGATAGGGTTTGTGTCCTTATGGTGAGAGTGTGGAGAGTAAATAGAGATTAGTAGAATTATTAAAAATCATCTTAATAATTAAAATAATATATTTTATTAGATTTATTTAATTTAATAGAAAATAGAAGGTTTGGGGCCAAAGTGTGAATTATGAGAAGTGGAAGGGAGGAAGGATTTAAAAACAATTGCTAGTGAGAGAAAAATTATAATTATTAAAAGATTACCCTAATGTTATAAATTAAGAGTCCAACCTTGTTTAGAGAGTTTTTTCATCAATACGTAGAAACAAAATTGGAGAATAGAGGAAGAGGATAGAGAAAATGCAAAAGAAGGCTTAGAATTTGGAAGGAATTAGAGAATCAAAACTCAAAATTTGCACTACTGCTAAGATAACCAGGTAAAGGGGGATAATAGATTCAATAATGGGTATAATGCTTAAAGGATATAATTAAGGAGTCTTTAACCTCCAATAAGAATTATTTTAATTGGTTTGAATCTGAAAATTGATGATGCATGATGTTGATTTTCATATGTCATATGTGTGAGCAAATTCTATTTTAGAAATTGTGAAGAGAATATGTCATTGATAACGTTTGAAGGTTGTAGGCATTTTATGAATATATAAATATAAGTGCTTAAGAGTGTCAATTTGATGTGATAATATGATTTTGATGTTTGTATATAATATATGGACAGTCCGAGTCAATTTTGGATGCTTGGAATGAGAACTCGAAGTTCTGATTTGAACTCTATTAAAAGAGATAAAGTCTACTTTCTGCAGGTCCATGGCGAGCGACATGACCTTGGCGGGCGCCATGCTCATGACATGTAATTTGTCATGAAGTCG